TAGGCAATTATCAAATATAACTAAAAATACACAAATAACTGAGGATAAACTGCATGATTGCTGTTGTTATATGCCGTCAAGTCAACTAAGACCCATAGTGACCCTATGAACAATGGCTCTGAATCTCATACTACTCTGAGCCAATTTCACCATCTCAAACACACCTGACCCCATTGTCACACTCCCTGGGTCAATCTATCTCATCCAGGATCTTTCTCTTCTGTGCTGACCCTCTACCCTTCAAAGCATAATATCCTTCTCCAAGGACCAGTCCTTCCTAACAACATGCACAATGTATGTGAGATGGAGCTTCAAAATCCTCGCCTCCAAATAGCAAGCTGTTTTCACCTTCTCCTGAACATATCTGATTATTCTCTTGCCAGTCCATGATATGTTCAATACTCTTCTCCAACACCAACCACAACTCAAAAGTATAGATTCTTCTTCTGTCATCTTTATTCATTGTCAAGCTCTCATAGCATACAACTGAGAAGACCACAGCCTGAGTCAAGCATACTTTTGTCCCTAGGCTGACATCACTGCTCTTGAGCACTCTGGAGAAGTCTCTTTTTCTTTTCTTAAACAAAATTTTATTTTAATTGTGGTTTTGACAAACATTTACAGATAAGTTAGATATTCACTCATTTTTGCACATTTTACCTTCTCTCTCTCCTTTTCCCCTCCCCTAGTTCACTTTTTTTTTTAAAATTAAAAAAAATGTATTTACTTAGAAGCATTCAGAATGTCAACAAAACAGCTGCAACTTTTTTTGGTTTTTCTTTCTCTTTTTGCAATTACAGAGTGGTATTCAGTTAACAGAACAACACTTATTTTGTATAACCTGCATCAGACAACTGAAGATAAAAAGGAAAAAAAACCCCTACCCTCCCCATATATAACTAATTTGTGCTGTGCACCAACAAGAATCTGCTTTAAATTTCCATGCCAATGTACAACCCCCATTCTGTACCAGGCAAGGTTAGTGGCTACTGAAAATACCACCAGGGCAGAGCTATCTAAAGACACATTCGGTAGTGTGTTAACTATACAAAAAAAGACACTGTACAGTTTAAAAACAAATCTTACACAGCCTTACATACCAATTTTTTTTTTCTTTAAAAGGAGTGAGTTGTGTACAGGAGGGTTAAATGCTTTATGTTGTTGTTGTTGTCATGTGCCGTCGAGTTGCTTGCGACTCATAGCGACCCTATGTACAACAGCCCTAAACTCTGCTCTGTCTTGTGCCAATTGCACCGTCTCTGACACTCCCATCCTGATTATCCCAGTCACTGAATCAATCCACCTCATAGAGAACCTTCCCCTCCTGCGCCGTCCCTCACCCTCGCAAGCATGATGTCCTTCTCCAAGGACCGGTCTCTCCTCACAACATGTCCAAAGTATGTTAGACGGAGCCTCAGAATCCTTGCCTCCAAGGAGCCACCCGGTTTAACCCTTTCCAGGACAAATCTGTTTGTTTTCCTAGCAGTCCATGGTATTCTCAATACTCTTCTCCAGCACCACAGCTCAAAGGCATCAATTCTCCTTCTATCCTCCTTGGTCATTGTCCAACTCTCTGATGCATAACAAGTGATTGCGAAGACCATGGTCTGTATCAGATGCACCTTCGTCTCCAGAGAGACACCATTGCTCTTCAGTACTTTGAAGAGGTCCCTAACAGCAGACTTTCCCATGGCAATGCGCCTTTTAATTTCCTGGCTAATGGTGCCAAGAGTGTTGACTGTGGAGCCAAGCAAACTAAAGCTGTGTACAATCTCAATCTCTTCACCATCCATCCTGATGCTGCCAATTGGTCCAGTGGTGAGAATCTTTGTCTTCTTGACATTGAGCCTCAATCCATATTGTAGGCTGCAGTCCTTGACACTCTGCAGCAGGCACTTCAGGTCCTCTTCAGTTTCAGCAAGCAGGGTTGTGTCATCCGCATAATGCAGATTGTTGATAAATCGTCCACCAATCTTGACCCCACATTTCTCCTCATAGAGCCCAGCCTCCCAGATAATGCTTTATAGACAAGAAAAAAACTGCACTACAACCAACTTATTCATCATCATCATCCTCCTCTTCATCCTCATCTTCTTCATCTTCCTCGTCCTCCTCTTCCTTCTTCTTTTTGCTTTTCTCAGCCTTGACAACTCCCTTTTTGGCGGCATCAGGCTTCCCCTTAGGCCCATATGCAGCAATATCCTTCTCGTATTTCTCCTTCAGCTTAGCAGCCTTCTTTTCATAGGGCTGCTTGTCATCGGCAGCAGTATTATTCCACGTTTCTTCCAGCTTCTTCGCAACATCACCAATGGAAAGGCCAGGGTGCTTGCCTTTGATTTTGGGGCGATACTCAGAACAAAAGAAGAAAAAAGCCGAAGGGGGCCTCTTAGGCGTGTTGGGATCTTTGAACTTCTTTTTTGTTTCGCCCTTAGGAGGGATATAGGTTTTCATCTCTCTCTCATAACGGGCCTTGTCTGCCTTTGCCATGTCTTCAAATTTACCTTTCTCTTTAGCAGACATGGTCTTCCACCTCTCTGAACACTTCTTGGAAAATTCTGAGAAGTTGACAGAAGCATCTGGGTGCTGCTTCTTGTGCTCCTCTTGGCAGGTTTGCACGAAAAAGGCATACGATGACATTTTGCCTCTTGGCTTCTTAGGATCTCCTTTGCCCATGGTTAGTTATTTCTCGTCCGCGAAGCAGAATCTCCCAGTGTCGTCAGGCTCTGCCTGGCCTGGTGATGTCTCCATGGAGCTCAAAGTACTGCAATGGTAGTGAGAGCAGGAGCCAGACACAGCCTCTATCAGTTCACTTTTTTAAAAAAATAAAAAATTCCTTCATTGTTGCACAACTACCTACCACCTCCCCCCAACCCTCTTAGCAACAAAGTACTTCTTATTTTGGGCTGTTCTCATACATATAATGCTTAATCATATACTCATTTTAAACAGTTCTTTCTTTCATCTGTTCCAATGCAATGGTCACTGTCATCTACTCTTATCCTACTGTCCTCACAACTAATCATGTCAGACCTGTTTTATAACAGTGATGCTATGCAGTATTTGTCCTTTTGTGACAGAGATATTTCACTCAGCATGATGTCTTCCAGAGTCCCCCACAAAGAAGTCTAGACAGCAGATTTTCCTAATACAATTTGTCTTTCGATTTCTTAACTGCTGTTGCCAAGAGTGTCAATTGTGGAACCAAGCAAGCTGAAATTGTTAACCATCTCAATCTAATCTCCATCCTTGATAGCAGATTTGGACAGGAGTGACTGGAGCCCAAGATATCACATTAAGAGTTAGTTAGAGGCCTTATGAGGAGGGAAGGTTTGAGGAGGGTGGCAAGTAGCTGTGCTGCGATAGCAAAGGCATGCAATTCGAATCCACCAGCTGGTCCATGGGAGAAGGATGGGCAATCTCCTCCCATGCAATTAAGTGCCTCTGAAAACCTGCCAGAGGATCAGCTATGGGTCAGATCTGACTCAACGGTACACAACAACAACAGGGTAGAAGAGCAATGCCGAATTGCCAAATGTATTTGTCAGTTTTTGTCCTGGGGAAGTGTCTTTACATGTTCTAAATATGTCTATGTTTGCTCTTTTTTTAGCACTTGTCTGTCAGATGGTGTATTAAAACGAAGTTTACAAATTTAAGAAAGACTAGGAAGAAGGATAGGCCATCCACTTCTGAAATAACAGGCCTTTCAAAATTCTAAGAACTAGATGACTTGGACTTCTTAAAAATTAGATCTGTATACATAATAAAAAATTTCTCCACGCCCTGAGTGAGTCTAGTACTTAAAATTCCTAGTGATGTGAAGGGAGACAAATGGCTGATTAATCTTTGCGTATTTTTTTTTCATCTATAAAATAGGGATGTTTAAGTGGCAAATGCCATATAAATAAATGCATGTAAGCATGTACACATTCCACAATGATGTATGCAAATGAAAAAGAAAAAAAATTCTCCAAAGAGGAAAAAAGAGAAGCTACAGACTGGGGGCAAATATATGGCAATGACACCAAAAGGACTCAGATTTAAAGTGCCCAAAGCCACTCATCTGTTGATTTCTGGATTGCTAGTGCCAATGGTGTTGATGGTGGAACTGAGCAAGCTGAAATTATTAACAATCTCAGTCTCTTTTCCACCTATCACGATGCTGCCGATTATTGGCCCATTGGTGAGAATCTTCGTCTTCTCGATGTTGAGCTTCAATCCATATTCGAGACGGCAGTTCTTGACCTTCTGTAGCAAATGCATCATGTCTTCCTTGGTTTCAGGAAGCAAGGTTGTGTCATCTGTATAACGCTGATTGTTGATGACTCTACATTCCTACTCATAAAGTCCAGTTCCCCGAATGATCTGTTTCACATATAGACGAGTAATTAATTAATTGTACTAATCAATTATAATTAATATTACAAAATTATATGTGCATGAATGGTCAAACAAAAACCTAAATTGGACTGTAAATATACACTCAAAACTAATGGGTTCTCCAAGCATGGAGAACCATAGATGCTTCTACTTCAATACTATAAATCTGTTTTAATATGGACTAATAAGAGGAAAAGTTAGTTTGAATAAAAGATTTTAAAATGCTATTTTATTGTTCATAGGGGAAGTATCACTGCAAAGCAGAAGGCCTAACAGGCCTGTTTTAATGAATAGATGACTCATCTGTAATCAGCACATTAATTGTTGAGATTCAAATGGGTGCTCTTAAAGTACTAGGAAAAACAACTTCATTTTTAAGCAGGTTAAGCATTCCCCCTACAGCCTTTTTCAGAGCATCAATTTGCTTTGCAAACTGTTTCTTTCCAAAGACCACAGACATTAACTTCCATAAAACTCTTGACAGATTTATCACAAATTCTAGGCTATTAAGTTTTAAAAAGGAAGTTGCATGAATTTGGGGAGAACAACATTGTCATTACTTTCAGTATTACAAAATCAATGCCATCTACTGTCCCTCCCAGTCCCTAGAGTTGACACTATACCTTTTGCCTTTTTTTGATTCTTTTAAATGATTCCGAAATTTGTCCTCATCTTGAAGTTTCACTTCTCTTTCCCCGGTCTGGAGATTTAGCCGAACATGAGATCCTGCAGGGACAGCCTGACCTAAAAGACAAGAAGAGAGAAGGCTCATGGGGTCCAGGGTCCTCACAGGGACACTGAGACAGAATGACTGGCTAAAAAGTCAAAAGGTTGGGACACATGAGGTCATGAAGATCAGATTCTATGTGTTCTCTTTCCCTCCCTTTATCCATCATCTTGTCCTCTGTCTCTGTAATGCACACACATAACACACACATACACCCCATTCAAATATACTTGCTTTGTTAGTCCATATCTACTTAAAAGGGAGTCTGGTGGCTTAGTGATGGGGTGTTGTGCTGCCAATCCAAAGTTACTTGGCCCAAAACCACCAACTACTCCCCAGGAGAAAGATGTGCAAATCTCCTCTCATGTGATTTAGTGCCTCCAAAAACCAGCTCAAGGGTCAGTTCCAACCCAACATGACATAACAATAATCTAGCTAAGAGAAGTCATTAAGTTGGGTAAGGACATCCAAGTCTTTTGTTCATAGGGTCGCTATGAGTCATCTACAACTTGACAGCACTTAACAACAACAACAAGGAAATCCACACTTGAATCCACAGGTTAATAACTTCTAACAAACCTTAATAGTTAAGATATTCTAAGATGTCATATGAAGGAGCCCTGGTGGTGCACTATGTCACCTTCCTATTGGTTAGAATCCATCGGTCACTCTGCGGGAGAAGGATGTTTTTTTCTCATAAAGACTTACAGTCTCGGAAACCTGATGGAGGATCACCACTGAGTAGGAATAGATACTGCAGGAGTGATTCAGCAGTCGGTAGAAAAGACTCTGAGGTGGACAATCTGTACTCTGCTGTTAGCCTAAAACTTCACAATTTGAATCTACTCAATAATATCAGGGAAGAGTAGTCCTAACATTCAGCTTCCATTAAGATTACAGCAAAGAAAACCTTGTAGAGTGGTCTCCTCTGTAACACACAGGGGCTCTGGTGGCCTAGTGGCAAGAAGCTGTGCTGTAATCCCAAAGGCACAAGGTTCAAGGTGACCATCCACAATATAGAAGAAGGAGGGGCATTCTCTTCCCATGCAATTTACTGCCATTGAAAACCCTAGGGTCGGCTAAGGTTAGTTGGTTCTGACTCGATGGTGCTCAACAATAACTCTATAACACATAGGGTCACCATGAGTTAGAATTGGCTTGAGATCAACTCACAACAAGTTTTCTTTAAATTTAGTTAATGATGTTTTTGCTAAGTGTCTACAGCACCCTGGTGAATTCTTATTCATCCTTCAAGAAGTGGCTATGAAACCCTTGCCGCCCTTCCCCTAGATTCCACAGAATCCTAGGCAGTCTGCCATCTCAGTATACTTACATTTGTTTACTTGAGTTTTGAACTCCTGGAGCACAGATTATGTCTCTACCTTTTTTATTTTTCCTGATCCTGGGAGAAGGATTTGCACATAAAATTTGTGGAACATACAAAACTCAGGAATGCTACATGATTTAAAATCAGGAAAGGTGTTATATCCTTTCTCCATATCTATTAAATTTGTATGCTGAGAAAATTATTCAACAAACTAGACTCCATGATGAAGAATGGGGCATCAGAATCAGAGGAAGATTCATCAACAACTTTCATTATGCAGATGATACAACCTTGCTTACAAAAAGTGAAGAAGACTTGAAGCACTTACTGTAGAAGATCACACTCTAGAGCCTTCAATATGGATTACATCTCAACATCAAGAAAACAAAAATCTTCACCACTAAATCAACAGAAAACATCCTGAGAGATGGAGAAAGATTGAAGTTGTCAATTATTTAATTTTACTTCCTTGGATACACAATCTACCCAAGGCAGCAGCAGTAAAGAAATCAAGAAACAAACAAAAAATCAAGAGACATGTTAAATTGGGGAAATCTGTTATTAAGGGCTTCTCCAGAAGGCTAAAGAGCAAAAAGGTCAACTTAAAGACTAAAGTATACTGTTACCACTTCAATACTGTACTGGAAGTGCTTGCTAGGGCAATACAAGAAGAGAAGGAAATAAAAGGCACCCAGATAGGCAAAGAGATGGTTAAACTATCACTATATGCAGATGATATGATAGTATGCACAGAAAACCACAGAGACTCAACCAAAAAAAAGAAAACAAAACCTGTTAGTTAGTAGATCCATTTAGTAGAGTGGCAGGATATAAGATTAATTTCCAAGAATCAGTGGGATTCCTCTACAGTCACAAAGAGAACTCAAAGAAAGAAACCAAGAAAGCAATACCATTTATAATAGACAACCACAAACTGAGATACTTGGGAGTGAACCTAACTAGAGATACAAAAGACCTATACAAAGAAAACTACAGAACATTTCTGCAAGACACAATAAAAGACCTAAAGAAATGGGAAAATGTGCCCTGCTCATGGATAGGAAGACTCAATATTGTGAAAATGACAATCCTACCAAAAATAACCTGCATATTCAATGCAATCTCAATACAGATACCAAATTCATTTTTCAAGGAGATTGAAAGCTAAACTGTCAAGTTGATGTAGAGAGGCAAGAGACCCTGAATAAGCAAAACACTTAGGAGAAACAAAAATGAAGTGGGAGGCCCTGACCGCAACCAAAACAGCATGGTACTGGTACAATGACAGGCACAGAGACCAATGGAACAGAATTGAGAACCCAGAAATAAATGCAGCTATCTATGGTCAACCGATATTTGGCAAGGAAATGAAACCTATCAAATGGGGAAATGACAACCTCTTCAACAAATGGTGCTGGCAAAACTGAACTGCTACGTGCAGAAAGGATCCATATCTCACATCATACACAAAAAGCAACTCAAGGTGGATCAGAGATCTCGTAGTAAATCCCATAACTATAAAATTTATAATAGACAAACTGGGATCATGCTTACTGGTCTATGGTATAAAAAGACTGTCAAATACAGCCAGAAAGGTACAATGTGGAGAGGATAAAATTGAATGGGGTTAAATCTCTGTGCACATCAAAAACTTTCCTAACAGGGTGAAATGAAAACCTACTGACTGGGAACAAACATTTGGCAATATTATCTTGGACAAGGATCTCATAATGAAAGGTTACAGAATACTCCTACACAAAAAGAAAAAGACTGATAACGTAATTACAATGTGAGCAAAAGACATTTGACAAAATGGCCAAAGTGGAAAGAATTTTCACAGAGTAAGATATTCAAACGGCCAACAGACACAGGAAGAAATTCTCCAAATCACTGTCAATAAGAGTGCTACAAATCAAAACCACAAGGAGATATTATCTCACTCTAGTAACAGTGGCAAAGTTTAATAGGAGATGTTGGAGAGGGTATGGAGATACAGCAACTCTTATACACTGTTGGTGTGACTGTAAAATGGTTACAACCACTCTGGAAAGCAGTTTGGCGCTTCCTCAAAACCTGAACACAGAAATTCCATCTGACCCAGCTATTCTACTGCTTGGACTACAGGCTGAGAAAATGAAAACTGAGGCACAAATGGAGTCTTGTATACTAATGTTTATAGCAGTGTTATTCACCATCACAAGCACATGTAAACAGCCCAGATGTCCAACCATAATTGAATGGATTGAGAAATTATGGTACATTCACATGATAGAATACTATGCAGCATGCAGGTGCAATGATTTTGTAAATTACTACCTAACTAGGGAGGGACTGGAGCACATTATGCTAAATGAACTAACTCAGTCCTATAAGGACAAATACTGTACAAAACCATTATTTTAGAATAAGTATGAGGCTCGAGGGGGGCGAGGAATGGAAGCAGAGGGGTAAGAATGTGTGGGGATGGGAGGGTTTAATCATAAGGTTGTACAATTTTATGTCGGGAGGTGAAGGAAATGGGAAAGATATGGTGTGAAAAACAATGTTTCAAACTTTGTAAATAAACTAGTATAAAATTTAAAAAACTTTTTAAAGAAAAACTAAGGTATGCCTGATGCAACAAATGATATTTTCAATTGCTTCCTATGCATATGAAAGTTGGATAATGAATAAGAATAAGAGATGAAGAATTGGTACCTTTGAATTGTGGTACTGGAGAAGAGTACTAAATATCCCAATGATTATCTTAAGAACAAAAAGTCTGTTTTGTATTATTATAAAAATAGAAGGATAACTATTAGGATATATATGAAAGTCCAGAGGGGAAGGGGAAGGAAGAGGGGGGAAAAGGGTGGAGATGGAGAAAATCAAGGGGTCACATATGGGCAGATTGGGGGGTGAAAGAATTAGGAAGGATCCAGTGGGAACACAAAGAGATGGGGTAATGGTGGAAAAGATCAATTGTGATTGATTTTATAAAATACAATAAATGGTAAATAATGGGAATGATTATATAAAACACAATGTGAATAATGAAATGTATGAAACACAATGTATAGAAATGAAACACAATGTATACAAATTAAGTATGCAAACCAATAAAAACTTAAAAATGTCTACACACACAAGTCTGACACAGTCTGTCTTAGAGGAAGTGCAAGCCAGGGTGCTACCTGGAAGTAAGGTTAGTGAAACTGAGTCTCATATACTTTGGGCATGCTGTTAGGAGGGGCCAGTCCTGGGAAAAAAAGAGGGTCAGAAAAAGAGAGGAAGACCTTCAACAAGATGAACTAAACAGTAACTGTGACAATGGGCTCAAGTACACTAGAGATGGTAAGGATGGCACAGGATAGGGCAAAGTCCAGATCTATTGTTCAGGGGGTCATTGTGAGTTGTAGTCGACACATCAGTACCAAACAATAACAATTCTTATAAGAAGGAAGAAGGCATATAGTAAGCCAAGGAGGCTGAGATTAGAACTAAGAGAAATTAAACCCAATGCTTAACTGTCTCAAAGGAGCTGAACCTTTGAGAAAAAAAAAAGTACTGAATAAATGGGATACTGAGAAAACAAAATTCATTCATTCATTTATTCATTTGTGCAACTGATATTTACCAGGCATCTACCAGTCACAATGGTAGGTGCTAGTACACAACCTAGTGATGTAGTACATAACATATAGGACTGTT